ATGGGTCTCATTCTCCTAAAGAGCCTTGAATATAATCTCAGGGCTAGGATGAAGGAGACGTTACTGGGGCCTGCTCGAGGCAATCGACGAATAACAGGATGATCTGTGATCTGTGATACATATATTTGGGCTGGAGCGATAGCACAGCGGGTAGGGCGTTTGCCTTGCACGCGGCCGACCCGGGTTTGATTCCTCCGTCCCTCTCGGAGAGCCTGGCAAGCTCCCCGTGGCACATTTGATAGGCCAAAGACAGTAACAAGTCTCACAATGGAGACGTTACTGGTGCCTGCTCAAGCAAATCGATGAACAATGGGACGACAGTGCTAAATACATATATTTATATATAAGCACATAAGGCTCAACCTTTAACAACATATTAGTGATCTCTTATAGAAGGGCTGGAGCGATAGCACAGCGGTAGGGCGTTTGCCTTGCACGCAGCCAACATGGCCGACCCGAGTTCGATTCCTCCGCCCCTCTCGGAGAGCCCGGCAAGCTACCGAGAGTATTCGATATGCCAGACACAGTAACAACAAAGTCTCCAATGGAGACGTTACTGGGCCCGCTCGAGCAAATCGACGATCAACGGGAGGGCCTTTACCTTCTTACCTTACCTTTCTTTTCTTATAGAAGGGTTTAGTGGCCCCTGGGTGAAATACAACAATCTTCACACACTTTCCTCTAAGGAAACTGTTTTGGATCATTTTCAGTGTTTTTTTTATAACAAACAATACAAAATAAGTTATTTCAGTTCTGCTTTGGGGCAGGGGTTGGGGTTCAGGATGGAAACTCCTGAAAGATGGTGGTGGGAAGGTGTAATGATGGTAGAATTGGTGTTCGAATATTGAATGCAATCAAATATTGTGAACTACTTTATAAAAATTAAATTAAACTAAAAAAATAAAAAAGAATTTGTCCAGGGGCCAGAGTAGCAGGTAGGGTGTTTCCTTATATGTGGTGTTAGATCCTTGGCATCCCATATGGTCCCCCAAGCATCACCAGGAATAGTTCCTGAGTGCTTTCGCACTGAACACACACACAGAAAAAAAAGAAAGAAAGAAAAAGGATAGTGGTAATGGGTCACATTTCACAGAGACTGTACAGTGGGAATGGGACACACTTGGAGAGCTACTACAGCGGGGAGGGCACTTGCCTGGCGTGCAGCTGACTCAGGTTCCAACCTCAGCATCCCATAGGGTGCCAAGCTTGCCAGGATGGACTGTGTTGAGCATTACCAGATGCGGTCCAAAAACAAACATAAAACAAAACCAGTTCCCCACCTATAAGTCTAAGGTTTTTTTAAATTTGGACACTTCCTTGAACCTTCTGCTCATGTCCACTGGTAACTGTCAGGGCCTTTTTCTAGGGCTCCTGCTCTAACTTTGTGTCAGCGAGTGCACCCTAGTATATCTGCTTGCACATTTCCCACCACCAACGTCCTCAGTTTCCCTCCCACTCAGCCTGTATCTATGGCAGACACTCCTCTCTCTCTCTCTCTCTCTTTATCTCTCTCTCTCCTTTTGAGCCTCATGGTTTCAATACTGTTACTGAAAGGTTATCATAAAGTAAATAAAGTAAAGGCCCTCCCGTTGATCGTCGATTTGCTCGAGCGGGCCCAGTAACGTCTCCATTGGAGACTTTGTTGTTACTGTGTCTGGCATATCGAATACGTCACAGGGAGCTTGCCAGGCTCCGCCGAGCGGGCGAGATACTCTTGGTAGCTTGCCGGGCTCTCCGAGAGGGGCGGAGGAATCGAACTCGGGTCGGCCATGTTGGCTGCGTGCAAGGCAAACGCCCTACCGCTGTGCTATCGCTCCAGCCCTAGGTTATCATGTACCGCATTTTACCTCCTTTCAGAACTCAGTTCTTGTCCAGTTATCATTTCCAACGATCATTGTCATAGTGGTCCCTTCTCTTTCCTAACTCTCTCCCCTCGCCGTTTGAGACAAGCTTCCAACCATGGATTGGTTCTCCTGGCCCTCATTTCTACTGTTCTTAAATATTAGTCTGATACTATTTTTTTTATATATTCCGCAAATGCGTGCAATCATTCTATGTCTGTCCTCTCTCTGACTCATTTCACTTAGCATGATATTCTCCATGTCCATCCATGTATAAGCAAATTTCATGACTTCATTTTCCCTAATGGTTGCATAGTATTCCACTGTGTAGACATACGATAGTTTCTTTATCTAGTCATCTGTTCTTGGGCACTCCGGTTGTTTCCAGATTCTGGATATTGTTGTTTTGCTTTTTGGGTCACACCTGGCACTGCACAGGGATTACTCCTGGCTCATGCACTCAGGAATTACTCCTGGTGGTGCTCGGAGGACCATATGGGATACTGGGAATCGAACCCAGGTTGGCCGTGTACAAGGCAAACTCCCTACCCACTGTGCTATTGCTCCAGTCCCGATTCTGGATATTGTGAATAGTGCTGCAATAAACATAGAAGTACAGATGTTTTTTCTGTTGCTTGTCTTTAAAATAGAATAAAAAAGGTCCTAGTGATAGTACAAGGGGTAGAGCATTTGCCTTGCACACAACTGACCCGAGTTTGGTCCCTGAGTCACCAGGAGTGATCCCTGAAGTGCAGAGCCCAGAGCACCATTGGGTTTGACCCAAAACAAAACAAAAACAAGATAGAATAAAATGGTAATAATAAAAAATTTTTTAAAGTGGGGTGAAGGGAAACAAATAATTTAAAAAGACATTTTTTAAATGTAAAAAAATAATATATACAATAGAATAAAGCAACCATCAAGAGTCCAAGGCTTTTTCTATGACAACACCCAGAGAACTCCAGGCCAAGACAGTTCAGAGATTTGTATTTCAATCTCCTTCCAACGCCGTTCTCTACCTTTTCCCCCCTGGAAACATGATGTCACGCTCTTTCTCATCTCTTACATTTCTCTAAGTAAATTTCTTTCAATAAAACAATTTTACTTGGGGCCAGGGTGATAGTACAGCAGGTAGGGCGTTTGCTTTGCACGTGGGTGACCCGGGTTTGATCCCCAGAATCCCATATGGTCCCCTGAGCACCAGGAGTAATTCCTGAGGGCATGAGCCAGGAGTAACCCCATGAGCATCGCTGGGTGTGACCAAAAAAGCCTAAAAGAGGAAAAAAAAAATTTTACTTCATTAAAACAAAACAAAAATGCAAATTCTTTAAGAGACCTAACAGCAGAACACACTTCTCTTCAAAAAGTGTTACAGAAAATCAGTTTTATTTCTGAATCTCTCCATGAAAACAGAAACAGGCTCTGACTAGGGGTCACTCAATTGTCCAAGTTTATTTATGTTGGTTCACTGACAAAACACATCACAGCTTGTAATTCCCCCCCCCCCCCCATTCCACTTGGGTCAGTTTAAATCACAGGATTCTCTTAAGCACGCACACAGGCATAGACACACACACACACACACACACACACACAGAGGCAAGTACGAAAGACAACCCCACTAAAAGTGCATGTGAATGAAGGGGCGAGGGGCTCCTTTTTTCAGATTCTGGGAGCGTTTGCTCTGCTTCAGACACTCAGCCCTTGGCCCGTGCTGGGCCCAGCTTCTGGCCCAAGGCAGAAACAGTGCTGGGGTTCCAGGCCGAGGTGCCACCACCGTCTCCGTCTCCTGGGGGGCGGGGGGCAGGGCATCTGGAAGGGGCAGCAGGGTGGGCAGAAGGCGGCATCCTCCTCGCTGCTTTCTCACTGCTTTCCCGAAGACTGTGCTTAGAACAGCACCTCCAGGCTGGAAGGTGGGTCCTGGTGGAGACGGGGTCCCCCCCGCCCCCGGCTGCATGGGGAGCCCAAAGGCCCCAGCGCCTCCTTCTGTCTCAGGCAGACGTGAAGCTTCCCCCGTTCCATCTGCCCAACACGTGACCTCCACCCATCCTGCAAAACACCGAGCGAGCCCCCGACGTGGACAGGGCACTAGGTCCCGCACACTGGCCAGGTCCTGGGGTCACAGGGTCTTGCAACTGTCCCTCACGCCTACTCCGTGGGGCCAAGCTCCTGCGGGAGGCCTCTCCTAGCCCCTCCCTGAACAGGCTGGGAGGCGGGTCTGGCAGTGACAGGGGCATTGCAGTGCCCCCCACGTGGACAGGAAGGTCGGATTCCCAGCACCCCAGCAGCTACCCCGGGGTTGGGGGCCAGGCCGGACAGGTGGTAGGGCAGAAGGGCTTTGGGGAAATGACATAAACCTGCGTCCCCCTCCCCCAGCCTTCAGGGCTGGGGTTGTGGCCCGGCAGGTGCTGAGTTCCCACGGCTGGAGGCCTGAGGCCAGGCTCCTCTCCACACTCTGGGTGACACCCTGCAGCTGGCCACAGGTCCGCATGTCCACTGCCCTGGGCCGGTCCCCACCACCTCCCTGCCAGGCCACCTCTGCCCTGCTCAGCACAGGAAACACTTCAGTGGGGATGGGGGGTTGGGGGGGGGACATCAGAGGCAGCTCACCGCTGTCCCTCGCTCACTGGGGGGGGGGGGGGCTAGCTGAGGGTCCTCACTGAAAGTGCCCAGAACTGGGTGTGACCTACGAGTGCCCGACCCCCATGCATGGGCAAAAGGCAGCCGGGCAGCCGGAGACCCCCAAGGTGGGGGGAACACTGTGCAGGAAAGCATAGCAGACCCACGGGCAGAAGAGGGGTGCTGGCTGCAGGCTGGCTCCTGGCAGAGCGAAGAAGAGACCTGGGGGGAGCATGGGGTGGGGGGGACACCCGGGTGCACCCAGGGCTCACCCGAGCAAGGCCTTGATCCCACCATGGGGCCCAGGCTGGGCCCTACCAGGCTGTTCCTCGGTACGGAGACCCCCTTCCGGTGAGAGGCCAAGTCTGCTTGGGGGTGGGGGGAGTCCCAGGGCCGCCATCGGGGTCCTTACACCCCTGCCAGCCAGCTCCATCCTTCCCAGCCTTCTGGGAAAACCACCTCAGTATGATGGATACGGGGGGGCGGGGGGCACAGGGGTCCTGGGGGTAGGGGCTCCCTGCAGAGGCCGCGCAAGCAGGCCGGAAGGGGGCCCACCCCTCCCAGCCGGTCACTTTAGGGAGTCATCGGCGTTTTTGAACATGAGAATGGCGTTGTAGATCTTCAGGGCGGGACCCAGCTTGACGCTCATGATCTTCACGATGTCCGCCTGTGTCAGCAAAAGGAAGGCCTCGCCGTCAATCATCTGGGGGCGGGGAGGGCGGAGGGCAGCGGAGAGGGGGGAAGAGTCCAGGGGCAGGGGAGGGGGGAAGGGGGGTGTCCAGAGAGAGAAAGAAGAGGGGCGGGTGTGAAGGGCACACGGGGAGGCAGGCAGGCGGGACGGGAGGAGGGAGAGAGGAGAGAAGGAAGACGCCGTGGGACGGGGCAGGACGCGTCCGGGCCTCCCAGGCCTCCCACCGGCTCGCGGGCGGGTCCCTCTCTGCGGCTGCTCTGCTGAGGCTCAGGCTCGGGCTCGGGCTCGGGCGGCTTCCAAACCTGCCGGCCTGGGGCTGCTCCGGCCCCGGGGCCCAATGGTCAGCCTGACGCTGCCAGCAGGGAGCAGCAGTGACTGCAGACAAGCTGGCGGGAGGCGGCGACAGAGCACAGAATTACCTGGAGGAGAGAGAGGGAGAGAGACAGAGAGAGAGAGAGAGAGAGAGAGAGAGAGAGAGAGAGAGAGAGAGAGAGAGCGCGGTGACACGTCAGACCTGGCGCTGCCCCACTTGCTGCCTTCAAGGGCCGCTCCCCGCACACCCGTCCTCTCTCTGCGTCCCAAGCGAGCAAGGGGACACGCGGAGCGTCCAGAGCTCAACGCGGCAGAGCTGGTTCCCAAGCCAAACCACACGCAGAGCTGAGGCTCTCGGACCCGGCCCTCCCTATGGCTGGCTTCTGGGGGACGCTTCCGGAAAGATGCGCATGGCATAAAATGTGCCATGCACATCTCACGGGAGCTTCCTGACTGGCACTGGCTGGGCAGAGTGGCAGGTGAAGGAAGGAGGTCCAGCTCCCTCCCGAGGACGGTGCCCAGGCTGCACCAGCGTTCACAGCAGACTGTCTTTTTTCTTTTGTGGGGGAGGGCCGTGAGGGGGGGAGCAGGAAGCACCACACCTGGAAGTGCTCAGGGATGACTTCTGGCAGGGCTCAGGGGACCCCACGGGGCGCCAGGGATTGAACCTGCGTCGGCCGCACGCAAGGCGGGCCACTTCATCACTGTACTGTCCTGTACCTAGTTTCCCCTGGGATGTGGGAACAGGTGGGGCGGCCTCCCTAGCGGGGAGGGGGGTGTTCACAGCAGAGAGAGCGCCTGAGCTCTGCCTCTCGGGGCGGGGTCTCTGCCCCCACCACCATCCCCGCCCTGTGCTGGTACCTTACCTCATCTCTGAAGAGTCGCGCTTGGTCCTCGCAACCCGTCAGGGTCTGAACGAAGCCAAAGACCTTGGAAACCAAAGGAACCGTATTGTCAAGGTGGGCAGAGGCCTGGGAGTGGCGAGTGAGGGGCCCTGCCCCTGCCTGGCTGCCCTCTGGGCTGAGAGCATGTGCTTCACCTCATCAGAGACCCCTGGCTGTCCCAGGGCTGTGGGCCTGTCCCTCCCCACCCACCGGATGGGCGAGTCGGAGTGTCTGGGTCGGTGTCCACTGGCGGGAGAGCGGGGGAGGGGGGAAGAGGGAGCAGGGAGCAGGGAGGAAGAAAGGAGGAGGGAGGGAGGAGGGAGGAAGAGGGGGAGGAGGGAGGAAGAGGTAAAGAGGGAAGAGGGAGGAGGGAGAAGGGAGGAGGGAGGAGGAGGGGGAGGAGGAAGAGAGGAAGAGGGAGGAGGGAGAAGGGAGGAGGGAGGAGGAGGGGGAGGAGGGAGAAAGAAGACAGAGAGGAGGAGGAGGGAGGAGGGAGAGGAGGGAGGATGAGGGGGAGGAGGGAGGAAGAGGGGAGGAGAGAGGAGGGAGGAGAGAGAAGGGAGGGAGGAGGAGGAAGGAGGAAGAGGAGGAGGGAGGAGGAGGAGGGCGGACAGAGGGGAGGGAGGAGGGAGAAGGGAGGGAGGAGGGAAAAGAGAGGAAGGAGGAGGGAGTAGGGAGGACGGCGAGGAGGGAGGGAGAGGAGGGAGGACAGAGGGGAGGGAGGAGGGAGGAGGGAGAAGGGAGGAGGATGGCAAAGGAGGGAGGAGGAAGGGGAGGAGGGGGGGGCAGCAGCCCTGGCCTCTCACCTCATCGATGGTCCACTTGGCCACGGCGGAGGCCGAGATGCCCGCCACGCCTGGCAGGAGCTTGCAGTGCTGCTCCCAGCAGAGCGAGAGTGAGCGGTCAGGGTGCGTGGACAGGGCCGACAGGAAGAGGCTTGGGTGAAGGGCGTCCGTGCTCAGAGCTGGGAAGCAGAGGCAGAGTTCTGGGCTCGTCCCCAGAGCCCTCCGGGACCCGCGCCCCTCTGGCCCCTCAGGAAGGCTAGAGGGAGAGACCGGGGCTGTGGTGCCCTTCCGGGGGTCTGCCTGGCAGAGGTGCAGGAAGGGCCCAGGCCTCCCGACTCCCATCACGTGCTCACCCCCGACAAAGCAGGTCCCTCCCCCACCCGATTCCAGACGCTCAGGTCAGCTGAGGGGTTCTGTGGGGCCTGCAGGAACGCCCGGGTGGGCGCTGGAGCAACCCCAGAGGGCGCCACTCTCGAGCTCCCCTGCAGCAGGACGGTCCCCAGAGCCAACACAGCCCAGACCCACAAAGTCCCTTCTGGGTGACCCTCTCGTCACAGTGACACTTGCGTGGACACTGAGAATCAGAAGCTGCTGGCTCACCCTCATCCCCCTGGCCCCCCGGCCCAATGTCACTGCCCACTGCTCTGTGCAGAACCCCATTCTCCACCCCCCCCCCCCCAGCCTGTTGGGGCTACCTGCATGTCCCGAGCCTACACGGGCACCGAGAGAGGGACCCCAGCCCACTGGCCACAGCATGTTGCTTGTGGTTCTGCTCCCTGACCGACAGGGGGAGCCCTGGCCCCCTGCCGTCCATCCCAAAGAGGCTCTCGCGCCTGAGGCCCCGTGACCCTGCCAGGGGCCTCTCCGTGACCAGACCTGGCACTTGCCCTGTGGGACTGCAGGTGGACCCACAGGCTCTGCCACGCCGGCCCCTGCAGGCAGTGCTGGGCTGATCCCGACTCAGAGAGGCGGGTCCTTCCCGTCCACTTGCTGCCGATTCTCTAACACGGGTGTCGGCATGCGCTGGGCCTCCTCACAGACTGGCCGCTCCCCCCCCCCCCACACACACACACCTGGCCATCAGCCTCAGTCCTGGATCCCCTTTCCCACTCGCCAAGTGTCCGGCAACTGCCTCCCTGCCGGCCTCTTCCTTTCTCCGACCAATCCTGGGTCCGGCCACAGCCCTGCAGCAGCAGCAAGGGTTGAACTGCTCGGCCGGTCCCAGGGCGCCCTTGGGTGCATCCACCAGCACCTCAGCCCTGGGCTACGGGCCTGCCCATCTCGGAAGGCCCGAGTCTGGTTTTTTATTCGGCCTGGAGATGGGCCTGGAGGGCAACAGCGGTGGGTAGGAGCTTTGCTCCTTAGCGTCTTCCCCGGCACACAGGGACTGCTTGGGTCGCCCCTACCTGCAAACTGTCCAGCTGCAGCGCACAAACAATTCCGCTTAGATTTTTGAGTTTTGGTTTATGAACCACTGAAATGTATTCCTCAAGTTCTGGGAAGCCTAAGGTCATGACATCTGCAGAGGGAGTGCAGGGAGGTCTCCTCGCTGTGTTCTTGGGGGTTCCCGAGACTCCCTTTTTTTTTTTTTTTTGCTTTTTGGATCACACCCAGCAATGTTCAGGGTTTACTCCTGGCTTTGCTCTCAGGAATTACTCCTGGCGGTGCTTGCGGGACCATATGGGATGCCAGGGATCGAACCCGGTTGGCCACATGCAAGGCAAACGCCCTACCAGCTGTGCTATTGCTCCAGCCCCACGAGACTCCCTTTAAAAAAATGTTGGGGTCACACCTGGCAATGTCAGGGGTGACTCCTGGCTCCGCGCTCAGGAATGACTCCTGGCAGATCTTGGGGGACCATATGGGATGCTGGGGATCGAACCCAGATCAGGAGCATGCAAGGCAAGTGCTCTCCCCCCTGTACTATCGGTCTGGCCCCAGAACCTTTTGTAAGGGCACTAATTCCCCTCATGTGAGCCCCCCATTTGTGGCCCAATCACACCCAAGGACCCCACCTCCAAATAGCGTCACTGTGAATAAGTTTCAACACCCCACACCTTGCGGTATGGGAGGTGTCATCCTCTAGTGCCCTTATTGATGGAAACAGACACAGTTGCTGGATAAGCTCCACGGAAGGGTAGGAGAGCCAGCAGGGATACAGCAGTGTGGCGGGAAACAGACATTATTCTTCTTTATTTTTGGTTTGGGGACCACAGAGAGTGATGTTCGAAGTCTATTCCTGACTCTGTGCTCCGAGTTTGCTCCTGGTAGTACTCGGGAGACCAGGTGGTGTGGGGGATTAAACCCGGGCCTCCTGCATGCAAACCATGTGCTCCAGCCCATCGAACTTGCTCCTGAACCCCAAATGGGTCACTAACATGGGGCTCAGTGTCTTCGCTCATAAGTGAAGTGGCTGAGTAAGGAAACAGGTTCCCTCTTATTCTTTTTTTTTCTTTTCCGGGGGAAGGGGGTTGGGGCCACAACCAGAGGTGCTCAGGACTTCCTTCCGGTTCTGCGCTCAGGATCACTCCTGGTGGGCTCGGGGGACCGTATGGGATGCTGGGGACTGAACCTGGGCCAGCCGTGTGCAGGGCAAGTGCCCTTCCCGCAGTACTATGGCTGTGGTACCCGCTCTTGCTCTTCCATGCAGCTGACGACAAGGGGTCTCAACAGCCCTGCGAGCAGCTGAGTCCTGTCCTCCCAGAAGCCTTCCCCTTGATGCCGTCTGCCAGTAAACCTGGAGTCCAGATGTGGAAAACTAACGGGTGAGACAGACGTGTCCTCTAGGACAGACTGGGAGAGGGACAAGGAGGAATGCAAAGGAATCAAGAGACCTGCTCTGTGTCTGCTCAGCTGCAGAAGGACCCTGAGGCCCCGTGGGACACTGTCCTCGGCCTGGGTGGAAGGGGGGTGCCCAGCCCTGCTCTGGAAAGACTGGGGATAATCTGGACGTGAACACAGTCAGCCCCCTGGTGGTCAGAGACCGCATAAAGCCAGGCAGGATGGGTCGAAAGGCCCACCTTAGCGGCATCCTGGGACGCTTCATGCGGGGACCAGAGGGCCACCACACTGCTCACTCAGGCCCCCGACTGCAGGAACCACCTGGTTTCTACCAGCGGGAACAGAATGAGGGGCAGCAGGGGAGACTGACGGGAGATGGGACTCCCGGGCACCGGGCAGTACACGGTGCTGAGCACTTTGCAGGGAGCCTCATTTAAGTCACCAGCATCTTCCCAGCAAGGGACTGTGAGCAGCAACTTCTAAATGAGGAGACAGAGGCTCCGAGAGGAGGTGTCACCTCTCCAGGGAGGGCAACGTTGGACCTCGGGGCTGAGCTCTGAAGCATGATGCTTCATACGGCGTCAAGAGCACTTCCGGGAAGCACGGAAAGACCTTGGGCCCCGCCCGGAAATGGTGCCAGGACTGGGGATTCCTCCCCTGCCGCCTCTTCTGGCCTCAGGTGACATGCACGCAGGTCAGGTGAGAGAAGATCCTTATGGGGCACCAGGGACTGTGTCAGTGACAAAAGTGAAATGGACCCATTTTCTGGTGGACAGTTCAGCCACCCTTTGGACCACACTGTGGGTTAAATTTTGACCGTCCCTGCCAATTTCCTAACCCCCAGTACCTCAGAAGGTAACTATCTTTGGAGATTGACATGTTGACAACTGTGTGTGTGTGTGTGTGTATGTGTGTGTGTTGGTAGGAGTTAAAGTCAGGCCCTCATGATTGCAGGACAAGTGCTTTAGGGCTGCAGAGATAGTACATCAGACAGGATGCCTGCTGGCCAACCTGGGTTTGATCCCCAGCACCACAGAGGGTCCCTCGGGAACCATCAGAAGAGCCAGAGAGATAGTACCAGCAAGTAGGGCGTGTGCCTTGCATGCGGCTGACATGGGCTTGATCCCTGGCATCCCATATAGTCAGTCCTCTGAGCCCTGCCAGGAGCAATTTCCAACTGCAGAGCCAGAAGTAACCCCTGAGCATCATCAGGTGTGACCCCAAAATAAAAACAAACAAAAGGGGTTGAAGCGATAGTACAGTGGGTAAGATGCTTGCCTTGCATGTGGCTGGCCTGAGTTTGATCCCTGGCATCCCATATGGTCCCCTGAGCAATGCCAGGAGAAATTCCTGGCATCAGGAATTTCTGAATCAGGGGTAAACCCTGAGCACTGCTGGGTGTGGCCCAAGAAGCAAAAAGAACCAGCGGAAGTGATCTCTAAGTATAGAGTCAGGAGTAAATCCTCAGCACCACCGGGTATATATAGCTCCAAAATTTAAAAAGAAAAAAAAAAGTTTTTTTTTTAAAGGACAATTTCTCCACCACTGAGTTAAATCCCCAGCTTATATGGGCTTGGAAGAGGCAATCCAACTAGCATGAGGCCCTAATTTTCAATCTGACTGGTGGCCTGGTAAGAAAAGAAGCTTTAGACAGAGAGAAACAGCAGCAGCTAAACGCAAGTGAGGACACAGTAGCACGACAGCTGCCCACCAGTCAGAGAGAGGCCTCGGGGGCAGCCCACCCGCCTGTACCTGCAGCCTGGACTTCTCGCCGCCCGTGGGGCCATCAGCCCCCATACTATGGGGTCACAGTGGCCCAGAAGCCGTGGCACAGGGCATGGAGCAGTGCTACGACACTGGGGTCAGCTTGGCATCTGCGTGACAGACGCCCACCGGGCAACTGGGGCACACCTGAGCATGGGCTTCCCTCACGAGAGGAAAACAACATCCGCGCTGCAGACGGCAAGTTTGTGCCAGCAGAGACAGCCGGGGCGCTGGCCTGGAGGTGGGGGGTTGGGGGGGGGGCAGTGACCACTAGGCTTCCCAGCTGGGGGTCCCATGTTCCCTGGAGGAAACGGGCGCAGAGAGAGGCTGTGTGATTTTCTCCAGGTGACCCGGTTAGAGAGGACCAGCCCTGGCCTCCCTCCCAGGAGACCAAGAACGGAGGGAGCAGGACCCGGGGCAGCCTCCTGCCCGCCCTGGAGAACAGAGAGGCCAGAGAGGCCGAGTGTCCCTGACAGACTCACGGCCAGGACTGAGCGAACCGGGGCTGGGACCTGAGGTCACTCCAGGCTCCGAGAGATGCTCCTGCCGCTGACCTCTGCCCACCTCCCCCCCACTCCCCCTACCCCCAGGAGTGCCCATCCCCACCGTGACTCATCTGACCAATCACGGGTCACTCATGGACACTTGTTCGAGGACGTGGTACTTACTCGGGAAATCTTCCTGGGGCATCTTCCGGTACTTCGGCGGACGTCCGATCCTAGGGAGAGAGGGAGCGGGTCAGTGACAGGGAACCAGGGCCCGGCCCGACCCGGTGGGGGGGGGGGGACCCGAGGCCCTGCCCCTTTGCCCTCTGTACCGGCTGTGGTGGCGAGGCTTCTTCCTGAGGGAGAAGCCCGCGAGGTGCCTCTTGCGGGCCGCAGCCTCAGTGTCCGACAGCTCCGTCTTCAGCCGGCCCTGGTTCCTCTCGGCCAGCGGGCAGCCCGACAGGCAGTGGTGAGCCGTGAACTTGCCCGTCACGTGGCCCGAGCCGTCACAACCAGGGGTGGGGCACTTCCTGGGAAGGAGACGGCAGCAGGTGGGTGGGTGGGATTCACCGATGACGTGCGGCCCTTCCCGACCCCGCTCAGAGCGCCCAGGGGAAACCTCGTAGGGTCGCAGATGGTAGCCAAGAAATGTCCTGCTGGACAGTGTCTGGACGCTTGGAGCAGGTTCGGGGTCTCACCGGTGGTGAAAGCTGTACTTGGACGTCCTAGCGTGGGGCAGGCTCTGGTAGGCGAGAGAAGGGCAGCCTTCGGGGGTGGCAGAGCTGGGTTCTCGGGGGCCTGGAACAAAGGGACAGTGGTCAGTGGCGGGTGCTGGAGGCCGGGGTGGGGTGGGGCGGGGGAGCAGTCTTCCAGGGGAAGGTCAGCACCAGGAACAAACCACCTGGTCCAGGGGCTCTGGACTTGCAGGGAAACCATGCCTAGTGGCGATCTGTCCCCCTTGAGGGATGGAAACTGGACCCTCCGGAACGCTGCTGAAACAAGCAGGCTGAACCCCCTTGGGACTCTTGCCCGAGAAGCCACCGGAGGCAAGTTTGTGGGATTCTTGAGTGTTTCCCTATTTTTATCCTGAAATATTTTTTTTTCCAGTTTTTGGATCACACCCGGCCATACTCAGGGGTTCCTCCTGGCTCTGCACTCAGGAACTACTCCTGGGGGTGCTCAGGGGACCCTATGGGATGCTGGGGATAGAACCTGGGTCAGCCGTGTGCAAGGCAAATGCCCTACCCCTTCCACTACTGCTCCAACCCCCTTGGCCACCTTTTTTATGCTCTACCTATGTGTGTGTGTACAGGGCTGGAGCGATAGCACAGAGGTAGGGCGTTTGCCTTGTACGCGGCCAACCTGGCTGACCTGAGTTCGATTCCTCCACCCCTCATGGAGAGCCTGGCAAGTTACTGAGAGCATTCGCGGCCATGCGACATCTTATTATGACACCTCATTCCTACTTTGACAAACTGGCAGGCTACCGAATGTAGCCTGCCCACAGGGCAGAGTCTGGCAAACTCCCCGTGGCGTACCCAATATGCCAAATACCAGTAACAATGATGGGTCTCATTCTCCTAAAGAGCCTTGAATATAATCTCAGGGCTAGGATGAAGGAGACGTTACTGGAGCCTGGTCGAGGCAATCGACGAATAACAGGATGATCTGTGATCTGATCTGTGATTTTGACCGCACAGTAAAAGCCTGGCAAGGTACTCGTGACGTATTTGATATGCCAAACACAGTAACAAGTCTCACAACAGAGATGTTACTGGGCCCGCTCGATGAACAAATTGATGAACAACGGGAGGACAGTGCTACCTATGGGTGTAGAATGATGGAGATTTCATGTGAAACAACAGTGCTTCCAGGGGCTGGAGTGATAGTATAGCGGGTAGGGCGTTTGCCTTGCATGCGGCTCAACCTGGTTCGATTCCCAGCATCCCATATGGTTCCCTGAGCACCGCCAGGAGTAACTCCTGAGTGCATGAGCCAGGAGTAACCCCTGTGCATCGCCAGGTGTGACCCAAAAAGGAAAAAAAAAAAGTGCTTCCAGCAGGGAAACAAAGGCAGGAAGTCCAAGCCCAAGGGTGAGAACTGGGGCTTCGCTGACCATGAGCAAACCTTTTGTTTGTGGGGAGGGACACATCCACCAATACTCAGGGGTTACTCCTAGTGCTGCTTGGGGGACCATAAGGGATGCCGGGGATGGAACCCGGGTCGACCTCGTGCAAGGCAAACGCCCTCCTAACTGTACTATCTCTCCAGTCCCATAGCCTGACTTTTAATCCTGGTCTCCAGAGAGGAAGAGGATGCTACAGAGGGGACCCTCGGTGTCCTCAGCGATCAATGTCTGCTGAGAGGCTCCGTGCGCAGCTCAGAGAACTCCCGTGAGTGTCACAAGCCTTGAAGCACATGCTCCCAGGTGAGCCTGCCCCAAGACCCCAAACCCTCAAGTGGAGAAGCCGAAAGCACCACCAACTACCACAGCGCCCCTTGGTGGGGAGGCTAGGGGGTCTTACAGCTCAGGGTCAGACCTAGGCATGGAGGCCAATCCCGCCCCGTGAAAGCCCTGGGGGTGCTATCGGGGCTCAGGGGCATGACCCCTGAGGCAAGGGTAAGGAGGCCCGAGGGGGTACCCACGGAGAGGAGGCTGCAGGGGATGCCCAGTCTTGGAGCACCAGCCCGCAGGGTGGATGTCGGGGTGGTCGGCGTCGATCCAGAAGTCGTAGGCATGACTCCAGCCGTCAAAGTGGAGCTGGGAGAAAAGGGCTGGCGGTCAGGAATCCTCCAGGCTCCCAGAGGAACGCCCCATCTGCGGGGCCTGTCAGAAGTTCCCGGAGTGGAAGCACCAAGAACCATCTGCACAAGGACCCATCTGGGCTGCCGTGTCTTCTCAGGGCTCAGTGTTAGGGCACTGCCTGCCTGTCCCAGATGACGACAAACTCACAAGGCCTGTTTGCCCAGGGAGGAGTTTAAGGCACAGGGAAGGGATGGACTTGCCAAGGCTGGTTCTCACTGGCTTTGAGCTTGGAGCTCTCCACAGTCTGATTCAAGCCATACCCTGTTTGTTTGTTTGTGTGTGTGTGTGTGCGTGTGTGTGTGTGTGTGTGGAGGGGGGGCTACACCAGGCTGTGCTCGGGACCCACTCCTGGCTCTGCACTCCAGAATCTCTCCTGCCAGGCTCGGGGACCACACGGGGTGCCGGGGACAGAACCTGGCTCGGTTGCATGCCAGGCAAACGCTTCATCCACTGTCCTATCGCTCTGGCCCCATAGACCCTTCCCCTGTCTACACCCGTGGGCCTGTCCACTCCCACAGCCCGAGGGGCCCAGAGCCACCTTGATCCGATGGTCCTCCACGTCCTCCACACTGGCCACGCGAATCAGGGCCGGGTTCCTGAAGTCCACGGCCTCCAGCTTCATGTTGACCAGGAAGCTGTGCGGGGGGCGCTGTGGGGGAACGGCGGCCCAGCTCAGCGCGCCGAGCCCCCAGGAAGGGAGCCCCAGCCAACATCATGCCTGGGAACTGCATCTGGAGGGAGGGGGGCTCCTCCGCCCCAGTGCAGTGCTGCCAGGGACAGAGACTCACCACCTTGAAGGCCCACGTGGGCACGGCAGAGGCCCCGGTTTCTTCCAGGTATTTCTCCCAGCAGAAGCTGTCGGGGTCTGGGTAGTCTGGGGGAGAGATGAGGGCAATGAGTAGCCCCCCAGCAAGCACTCGGGGGAGCTCGCTGAGCCCCTCGAGTCTGTGGGAGAACTCCGCCCCCTGCAGCCCCCACATGGCCCCCACAGCCAGCTCCTCGCAGGGGACTTGGAGCAGACGGGTGCTGAGGGCGAGCTTCAGAGGCTGAACGTTTTCTGCATACAGGAGACCCGAGTCTGACCCTTGGCGGCACAAGGTCCCTCCTGCACTGCTGGGAGCGACCCTTGAGCACAGAGCTGGGAGTCGCCTGGTCATGCCTCCATCCGCCACCCCACGAGAAGCAGCAAGTGCGTCACTCCCTCATGGTTCCCTGGGAAGCCTGGCTCCCCACCCCCCCATGGACCCACTTGACCCCACTCCAGCCCCAAGAAACAGCTACTGCACAAGAGCCAGCGGAACATTCTGGAAAGGGCAGGGCACACTTTCTGCACTCTGGGCTCCTGCTTCCTCGCTGGGCACGTACCCCTCCAACTTCCTTTCCTTCTAGCTGCGGGACCCCTGCCCTCTCTCCCTGACCCTGAAGGATCCAGCTGAGGGTCGGGGCAGGGATCCGGGGCGAAGCGTCCGTCACCTTGGGGAGGCGTGAGGGGCTTCCCTTGCTTCTGGCACCAGCCCACCGGGTGGATGTAGGGGCTGCCGGGGTCACACCTGAAACCCAAGCACACTTGGCTTGTCCCAAGGAAACGCTGAGGCCCCGAGTCGGCCGACAGATGGCAGCGTGGGGGCTTGAGGGCTGACCCGCCTTTAACCTCCTACCCAGCGTTGGCTGATAGGAAGGGGAGAGAGTGACCCCATTAACCCCCGCTCCCCCTTGGAATCTTTGCTCAAAGGTCATGCTGTGTTCCTTAAGAGGCAGATCAGGTCCTCGGGACAGCAAGCCCCATCCCCCCACCCCGTCACCCCCTGAGCAGAGGTGAAAGTCGGGCCAGACCTGCACTGGGCACCCCCTGACACCACTACCAGTAGTCGTAAGTGTCGTCCCAGTTGTCAAAGTGCACCAGAAAGCGGCTGTTCACCACGTCGGTCACACTGGCCACGCAGACGAGGGATGGGTTCATGCGGTCGACCGCTTCCAGCTTCATGCCCACCTGGAAGCCCAGGGCTGGAGGGTTCTGAAGGGCAAGAAGAGGGGCTGTGTGGCCAGGCCCGGGCTGCCGAGAGCGAGCCCAGCGCCCTCACCCGTGGAGGACGGGGTTCCCTGGGGCCCACACCCACGGGTGGGCAGGAGAAGGGCAGGAGAAATGCGCAGAGAAAAAGGGTCCTGGTTCGATGGTGTTTTGGTTTGTCTGGGGGCCACACCTGGCTGTGCTCAGGGCTTCCTCCTGGCTCTGTGCTTGGGGGTCACTCCTGGCTGGCTTGGGGGGGCCAAATGAGAAGCTGGGGATTGAATCCAGGTCAGCTGTGTGCAAGCAAGCACCCACTACCTGTTGTACTATGCTCTAGGCCTTGTTTTTGATTTTATTTTATTTGGGGGGGGAGATTGAGGGGGACACATCCGCTGTGCTCAGGGCTTCCTCCTGGCCCTGTGCTCAGGGATAACTCCTGGTGTTACTCAAGGGGCCGTATGCAGAGCCAGAAAATGAGCCCAGGTTGTCTATAAGCAAGGCAGGCCCCTCCCTTAACACTTGCATTAACTCTCCGGGTAACCATCCCATTTTTATTTTATTTATATTTTTTTGGCTTTTGGGTCACACCTGGTGAAGCTCAGAGGTTACTCCTGGCTCTGCACTCAGGAATCACTCCTGGCGGTTCTTGGGGGACCATATGAGATGCCGGGGATTGAACCCAGGTCAGCTGCGTGCAAGGCAAACGCCCTCTATCTCTTTGGCAACCATCCCATTTTATAATGGAGACCACAGTCCTAATGGACGGTAGGAGGGTGTGTGTGTGGGGGGGGGGGGGGGGGAGTGGGGGGTCATGAATTAACTTAAAAATCTGCTTTTCTGAGTTGGGGATGGAGCAGAAAGGAAGAATACCTGCCTTGCAGGTATCAAATCCCCGGCACCGCAAAACAAGACAAAAATCCCCCAGAAGCCTGCATTCCTGTTGCAGTAGTGGGCAGGACTCCACCCGTGCCCTGGAGACCTGTAAGCACGATCTTGGGGGACAGACTGGGGTCCAGAGGAACGGCCCTTGCCTCCACAGGATCTCTGGTTTCCGGGTGATGGGGAGTTTTTGCGGGGGGTTCTCTACAGCTCCCAAACCTTCCGCCTGGGATTAGGAGATACCTTGACGTTGGAAAATAACGGCCAACAGCCTTGAACAGAGAAAAAGACCAAGGTGAGCTGCTGGCACTGCCTCGAAGCCAGGCAAAAGGAAGAAGCTACAGCCAGAGCAGAGCCTTGGGCCTTCGCCCCAGAGCCGTGGGGCAAAACAAAGCAAGAAGCACATGATGCCTGTGGCAGGCGGCGTGCCAGGGGTCCCGGGAGTGGAAGAGGGGGCGTGGGGAAGGAGTTCCTCAGGAAGGGGAGTGGGGGGGGGAACCTCTAACCAGTTTCCCTCTGGCCCTGGGCCGACCCAGCCCTACCCCTTTGGCAAGAGGGCCAGAACCAAGCAAACCAGTGCGCTTCGGATGCATCCGGACACGCCGGCATCGGCAGCCTGTCTGGGTACGGTCCCCCGGGGTCCCCCTGGCACTCACGTGGCTCTGAGTCACAAACAGGTGCTTGGGGGCGGCCTGAGCTCGGGTGCTGCGCAGATACAGGCTCCAGCTGAACTCGTCCTCCTTGTAACCTGGGCCCCTCGGGGGGGGGACGAACAGAGCACCGTGCAGAGACCGGGCCGGGGGAGGGGCTGCGTGCAGGCCTGAGGACCCCGCGAACCACCGGGCCCCTGCCCAGGCGCCCCCTGACCAAGCAGGACATGCCCAGGGTGGCCCCTTGGCAGGAGGAGGGGAAAGTGAGTCAGGGCTGAAGGCAATGAAGAGGAACCGAGGCAGAGAAAAGGGGGGCCCGGGGAAGGAGGGCGGAGAGGGGGGGTCTTGGGGCCCGGCCTCAAACCACAAACCTACCCTCGGCCTTACCTTTGGGGGGCTGCAGCGTGTGCCCGGTCTTCTCGAACCAGCCGGCGGGGTGAATGTCGGGGGAGTTGGCGTTGACCCAGAAGTCGTGGCACTCCGAGTACCCGTCCAGATGCAGGCGGAGGCGGTACCCACACACCTGGGCCGAGGCGGGGACCACAGGGCCTTGTGGGCGTGGCACACTCCCACCCACCCGCCCCACATCACACCCCTCCTCTCCTGGCCCAGCCTGGTGGTTGGGGCGGGGGTGTCTCGGAGCCTCTCACACCAGCGAGCACCCCCCTGCTCTTCACTCCCTGGTTCCCCCAACCCTGGCCTCTGTCTCTTGCTCCCCCTTCCCGTGATGAGACCGCTCCCGCGCTCCTTCTCCCTGAGTCCGGGGTGCAAGGCGAGAGATTCTCCGGTACCCTCCCCGGACAGAGCCGTCCCTGAAGATGAGGCTGCCCAGGGCCCTTTCCTTCCACTCCCCCTCTCACTGCCCCCCCAATTGTGCTTGTCTGCTGTGGCTGCGCCCACCTCACTGGAGGCAACTGCATATTCCGGAGTGAGGTCGCTGTGCTGTTTCTGCCTGGGACTCCCACGGCCCTCTGGCTCATCTCTCAGGAAGCAGCAAAGACAGCCCTTCCTCTAGGGAGCCCCTCCAGTCCCCTGGGGGCCTCACTGCTCGCCTCTGTTGCCGTGGGGCTAAGTCACAGACGCGTTTGCCTGGTTCGCACCCAACTGCCTGGACATTCCCTGCCAGCACCCCTGCCCCAGTGACCTCTCCTTAGGAGACCCCTGTGGTGAGGTCCACACCACTCTTTGGGGACAGGGGAGCGGGTCCTTCCTCTGGGTCCCGTCTAAACCCCCCCACCCCATGCATGCGGCGGACTCATCAGTCGCTCCCAAGAGACGCCATCAGGCTGGCGGGGATGCCTGGGCTCACCTCGGCCACCGTGAGGATGAAATACAAGGAAGGGTGCTGGGGGTCGATGCCTTCCAGTTTCATGCCCTGTCTGAAGCCATTCTTGATCTCAGGGGCCACCTGGCACTGTCAACGCAGATGGGAGAGGCCCCAGCTTCCATCGAGTGGACGGGAGGTGAAGGAGCGGCCTCCTGGCCTCGCCTGCCTGCTAACTGCCCAAGCGGTCACTTACGTGTGGCTACTGAGGGCAGGGACTTAGAGCGTTAGAGTAGCTCGCAGTCCCTTCAAAACGTGCGCTGATCCGAGACTAACACCCAAGGACGGTAGAGACCAGGGCCAGGAGGATTGGTCCATGGTTGGAAGCTGGCCTCAAGGGCTGGTTGGAGAGGGCAGTTGGGACAGAGAAGGGGCCATTATGACAAAGAAGACAGTTGGAAATGATCGCTCTGGGTGAGAACGGCATGCTGAAAGGAGGTAAAGGAACAAACATGATCACCTCTCAGCATCTGTGTTGCAGACCATAGTGCCCAGAAGGAAAGACAGAGAGAGAGAAAGAGAGAGAGAGAGAGACAGAGATGGAGGGAGGGAGGGAGAGAGAGAGAGGGAGAGTGAGAAGAGCAGAGCCAGGGTGGGTTGAGGGGGTGCAGGAGGGAAACTGGGGTCACTGGTGGTAGGAAACGGACAATGGACACTGGTGGAGGGATGGGTGTTGGGTCATTGTATGACTGAAACCCAGTCATGAACAGTGTTGTAACTGTGTACCTTGCGATGACTCAATTAAAAAATTTTAAATTAGACCAACCAACCACCACCACCAACAACAACAAAAAGCAGACTGCAACAGACTCTTCCGTCTCTGTGCAAAGCGCCCAAAGCCCGCCTCGGGAAAGGTCACAGACACAGCTGCGTTCACCGCGGCCTACGGGGAGCCAGGACACAACCACAGGCCGCTCGGCTGGAAGGAAAGACGGAATCTTGCCTCCTGTGCCAAGGTGGATGGAACCGGAGGCTGTCACGCTAAATGGCAGGAAATTGAAAAGAGAAGCCAGATCTGGCACCATTGGCCTCGTGTGTGGGTCGGGAAGAAACAGAGCGAAGAAACAACGTCCAGCACAAATGAGGTTACCCTCGGACCAGGGAACCGAGGGAGCTGAGAGGGTCCAATGAATGCCCACAAATGTTCTTTCACGAATCTATTTTTTTTTTAAATCATTCTATTTGTCATTCAATGGTAACAAGAAATATAAAGTAAATCACTGTGGGCCCAGGCTTGAGGGGTGGCTGGGAAAGCAGGAAGAATGGTGGCGGGAAGGTGACAGTGGTGGTGGGATTGGGCTTGGAATACCGAATGCCTGGAACAAACCATCACGAACAACTTCTTAAACCACGGTGTTTAAATGAATATGTCACTATCCTCCCGTTGTTCATCCATTTTCTCGAGCGGGTCCAGTAACATCTCCATTGTGAGACTTGTTGTTACTGTGTTTGGCATATCGAATACATCACGGGTGGCTTGCCAGGCTCTGCCATGTGGGCGAGATACTCTCCGTAGCTTGCCGGGCTCTGAGAGGGGTGGAGGAATCGAACTCGGGTCGGCCATGGTGGCTGTGTGCAAGGCAAATGCCCTACCGCTGTGCTATCGCTCCAGCTTGTTTAAATGAAGTGGGGGGGGGGGATTTTTTTTTTAATTTAAAAAAAACACAGGTCTGGAGGGATAATACAGTGGGTAGGGTGTTTGCCTAGCATGCGGCCAACCTGGGTTCGATTCCTGGCAACCCATATAGTCCCCCTGCACCGCCAAGAGTGATTCCTGAGTGCAGAGCCAAGGATAACCCCTGAGCATTGCCAGGTGTAACCCAAAAAAGAAAAAAATATTTTAAACAAAAAGGTCGCGCATATGCTGCCCGAGCCCATGTGCTGCTTGCGCCCACGTGGCCAAGCACATGTGTCGCCCGCGTCTCCCCTCTTGAGATGTGGACTTTCATGCTTTCGTGTCTAATGCTGGGATGTGTCTAGAGGCTCTCTCCACTCTTGGAGAAGCCCGCGTTTTCTCTCTCTCTCTCTCTCTTATTCTCTCGCCCTCCACAGCTTCAAAAGTCCTCCAAATAAAATCTATTTATTATTTAAAAAAAAGGGGGGGGTCAAATGGGCTGTATGTGTGTGTCTGTCTAGGGGTGGGGCTTGGCACTTTGGTAGTGAGCCTGGTGTAACACTGCACCCCTAAAACATAAACGTTTACACTCACAAACCCTTATTACCTCGAAAAGTATTACTTTTAAAAAATTGTTCAGGGGCTGGAGAGATAACACAGCGGGTAGGGCATTTGCCTTGCATGCAGCCAATCCGGGTTCAATTTCCAGCATCCCATATGGTCCCCCAAGCACCGCCAGGAGTAACTCCTGAGTGCAGAGCCAGGAGTAACCCCTGTGCATCGCCAGATATGACCCAAAAAGCAAAAAAAAAAAAAAATTGTACAGCAACAGCAATACAAAGTAAAATATGGATGGAGTCAGGTCTAGAGGTAGGGAAAGACCAACTTACAAAACTGACTGGAAGCTACCAGAACACAAGTCACTGGCAGGGCCAGTAACGGGTGTGAGCCCTCCGCTTCCCTCGTTCTTCCCAGTGTAGAAGCCCCTTCTTCTCTGTTCTCCAGGCGCCCCCAGACCTCCCCCTTCCCTCTCGCCAGTTCTATGAGGGCCCCACAAGGCCTGAGCTTGGGGTAAGTCCCGGGCTGGGAACACAAGCCCGCCGAGGTGACCTGAGCGCACTCACGTCCTGGAAGAGGCTGACAGGGGCAGTGACGGCCTTCTGCTCCTCGAGGTACGACTCCCACGACCAGCCTTCCTTCGTGTCCCCCAGCGCTGTGGAGAGGGGACGGCGGGGCTGAGCCCGAGCTCCTCCTGATGGACCACTGCTCTCCTCGGTTTCCCCTGACCCGCCCCTCCTTTCATCAAAAATCGACCTTGGTCTGAAGACACACGCTGCCCTCTGGTGCCAACGGGTCAGGACGGGTCCAGGCACAGGGGGCGCCAACACATGGCCCGCCCAATCCACTCCCATTCCCCGTCAGTCGTACTCGAGCATCGAACTGGCGTTACCAAGTCTCAGCCCGGAGGAACCAGGCTTCAGGCAAAGCTGAGTGACGGGGCTCAGGTGGCCAAATACATGCCCAGTATGTATGAGGTCCTGAGACGGAGCCCCAACGAGGGGACTGCCCAGCACTTCTTTTTTTCTTTTTTTTTTTTTTTTTTGCTTTTTGGGGTCACACCTGGCAATGCATAGAGGTTATTCCTGGCTCTGCACTCAGGAATTATTCCTGGTAGTGCTCAGGAACCATATGGGATGCTGAGGATCGATCCCAGGTCAGCCGCGTGCAAGGCAAACGCCCTACCCGCTGTGCCATAGTTCCAGGCCTCCCGTCCAGCACTTCTGGGGAGAACCTTGGTGACCCCCCCCCCCCCCAACATGGCACCGGTAAAGATGGAAAAACCCAGACCTGAGGGACAGGACAGCAGCTGCCCTGCATGGGGCTGCCCCAGGTTCCCTCCAAAACTGCATGTGTTCCCCTGAACCCTGCTGGGAGTGAGGAGCAAGTCCTGAGCACAGAGCCCGGAGCAAGGCCTGAGCACAGCTTTAAAACTAAAATTTAGTTTTAAATCCTGCCAGGTTCGACCCCTCGTACTCCATGGTCCCCTAAGTAGAGTCAGGAGGGAACCCCAAGCACAGAACCAGGAGGAAGCCCCAGGCATAGCCAGGTCTGGCCCCCAAAACAAAATAGCACTGTAGCACTATCCTCCTGTTGTTCATCGAATTGCCTGAATGGGCCCAGTAACGTCTCCATTGTGAGACTTGTTGTTACTGTGTTTGGCATATCGAGTACGTCACGGGGAGCTTGCCAGGCTTTGCTGTGCGGGTGACATACTCTCGGTAGCTTGCTGGGCTCTCGAGAGGGGTGGAAGAATCGAACCCGGCTCGGCCGGGCCAGCCACGCGCAAGGCAAACGCCCTTCCTGCTGTGCTATCTCTCCAGCCCAAACCTAAATAAATAAATAAATAAATAAATAAATAAATGTTGAATGGCAAGTCCTGATGGAGAAAACATGAGCCACCTGAGCTCACAGGTGAAGAACCAGAGATGAAGAAAAACAAATAAGAAATGCCTCCCCCCCCCACCCCTTGCAATTCTTTCTCTGGACACTGACAGGCACAAAGGGACTGCAATGTGTGTGTGTCTGGAGGAGTCGACACTCCCAGACAGATACACCAGCCTGTGCCCCAGCACAGACACCCAGGCACACACTGTGGATAGGGGATCCCCAGGTCCCCGACAGGGGAGATGAATCTCTCTATAAACTGTCCCATTCAACTTGAAATAGAATCCTAGCCTCTAACACGGAGGGGAACTGCCTTTCTTCAAAAGACTAAAGCAGATGGGGCCGGAGAGATAGTACAGCGGGGAGGGCGTTTGCCTTGCATGCAGCTGGCAGCTGACCCGAGTTCGATCCCCGGCATCCCATATGGTCCCCCAAGCACAGCCAGGAGCGATTCCTGAATGCACAGCCAGGAGTAACCCCTGAGCATCGCTGGGTGTGACCCCAAAACAAAACCAGAACGAAACAAAACAACAAGACTACAGCAGACGGAGATGTGGAAGGCAGATTAGCAAGGCCAGCCTGAGCTACCCTTAACCCAAGGCCGCAGACAACGAAAAAGGCAACAGCTCAGAAGAAGCTACTCACGTCCCCTGGATAAAGAGCTCCAGCGTCTGCTGATCTCAGTTTTGTCACCTGTGAAAAGCAGGAAAGGACAAGATCACAGAGGGCGGTGGTGGGAGGCGTGATGAGTTAGAGATCTTTCTGAGGGCTGGAGCAATAGCAAAATGGGTAGAGCGTTTGCCTTGCACGCGGCCTGACCCGGGTTCAATCCCCGGCATCCCATGTGTTCCCCGAGCACTACCGGGAGCAATTCCTGAGTGCAGAGCTAGGAGTAACTCTCTGAAACACAAAGTACTGGGCTGGGTGGGTCCCTGGTATGTCACAGGCTCGTGCAGTCCATCTGCGCTGGACTCAAGCACTGCCTTGCTCACTCGTCTGCGGGACTCAGGACTGCAGTGGTGGGTCGCTCGGGAAGAAGCGTTTTGCCTCAGTTTGGAACTTTTAAGTGGCAAGAGCTGCTGTCTGGCAGCTGTCTAAAACCTCCCCTCCCTTGCCTAACCGAGAGAGGCCAACTACCTGACGCAGTCAGGTCAGAGCAGGGACTCTGTTCATCACTCAGCCATCAACCCTGCACTAGCACCCGAGAGCATGCTTCTTCCTCCCTTTTGTCCTGAGTGAAACCTGGATTGTGTCTTAGGGCATGCCACCCACGGGGTCAGGGGAAACAGACGGGAGGGCACTCGCCTTGCATGTGGGCAACCTGGGTTCGATCCCTGGCATCCCATGTGAATCCCCTGACCCCCACGCCCCCCCATCAGGAGTGATTCCTGAGTGCAGAGCCAGGAGGAAGCTCTGAACATCGCCGGTGTGGCCTCAAACCAAAACCAGACCAAACAGAAAAAAAAAGAGAGCGAACACAGCCTTCTCCAGGATGAAAACAAGCAGGAGAAACAGAGAGAGATCAGCAAGCAAGATACATGTTCAAGGGAGAGACGAGCTAGAAGCGCAAGCCCCATTGAGTGGATTTAAAGATACCATTGACATGTGGTACAGGAAAGAAAGGTAATGAATAACAGTGAACGAAAACAAACCCTTGAACTTTGACACGGGAATGAAGAATGGGGGGCAAGGGTTGGATGGGGGGATGGGGAGGTGGCAGAAAGCAGGGAGCGTGGAGAGAAGGGGCAGAGTAGAAGGGACCTAAGGACGGTGCCACATGGTGGCCCACATCAGTGGTAGTGGAGGCAGGTGCATAATTTTGTCTGCCAAAAGCCTAAACATTAATTCTGCAGTTTAAAGAAAAAAGAAAGAGAGCCTGAGCATTAGTACAGTGGGGGGGGGGGGGGATGTTTGTCTTGCATGCAGTTGACCCAGGTTCAATCCCCAGCATCCCAGATGATCCCCCGACTCCCACCTCCTTCAGGAGTGATCACTGAGCACAGAGCCAGGAATAAGCCCTGAGCATCCCCGGATGTAACCCAGAAACCAAAAATAAAAATAAAGAAAGAAATGAAAATAAATAAAAATAAAACCCAGCTCCTGGAAGCGCGCGGCCACATTTGCGGCCGCGCAACATCTTATTATCTTATTCTTGCTTTGGACAACCTGGCAGGCAACCGAATGTAACATGCCCACAAGGCAGAGTCTGGCAAACTCCCCGTGGCTTACCTAATATGCCAAATACCAGTAACAATGATGGGTCTCATTCTCCTAACCCTGAAAGAGCCTTGAATGTGGCACTTTTTAGAACCTCAGGGCTAGGACGAAGGAGACGTTACTGGTGCCTGCTCAAGGCAATCGACAAACAATAGGATGATTGTGATCATGAAAAATAAAAGCCGAAGAGACAGAGTAGGGGTTAAAGGTGGCTTGTGTAGGATAGGGATTACGAGATTACCTTGTGTAGGATAGGGATTACCTTACAGGTGTACCGCCCCAGTCAAGGTTGCATGGCAGAGCCTGGCAAGCTCCCCATGGCGTATTCGATATGCCAAAAACAGTAACAATAAGTCTCATAATGGAGACGTTACTGGTGCCCGCTCGAGCAGATGAACAATGGGATGACAGTGCTATAGTGCTACAGAGCATTTACCTTGAATGCAGCGGAGCCCAGTTCAATCCCTGGCACCACATGCTGGTCCCTGAACTCTGAGAGGAGTGACCCCTGAGCACAGAGTCAGGAGTAACCCTGAGCATTGCCAGGCAAAATGCAGGCTCAGCTACAGAACATGTGCTTTGCAAACCTGAGTCCCGGAGTGTGGTTCCCAAAATGTCAAGCAAACAAACAAAAAACTCCAAAGCAAAACAAAAACAAAAACTACCAAGATACAGAGTGGGGGGAAAATTGTTCTGTATTTCTGACAAAGGACTTACATCTAGAACACACAAAAAAGCAGTAGTAGAAAAGATGAACAACCCAACTAAAATGGACAAATGTGGGGTTGGAAGGACGGTACAGTGGGTAGGGTGTTTGTCTTGCATGTGGCTAACCCGGGTTTGATCCATGGCACCCCATATGGTCCCCTGAGCAGGCCAGGAGTGAGTGATTCCTGAGAGCAGAGCCAGAAGTTAGCCCTGAGCACCACCAGCTGTGGTCCCCCCAAAACCAAAACAAGCAAACAAATCAATCAATCCACCAGTTCTGAGCTCCAGATGACAGATTCCACGTGGGAATGTGAAGACGGCACTGGAGAAAACCTGGGGGCCAGAGCCACTATAAAAGACCTGTTACGGGGGCCAGAGTGATTGGATGGTAGCAGGCAAGGTGCTTGCCCTGCATGCGGCCCACCCAGCTTTGATCCCCCTTCTCTCTCGAGTCCACCAGGAGTGATCCCTGAGCACTGCTGGGTATGGCCCCACAAACAAAGCAAAATAGAAAAGACATCTGTTCCATTTTTAGAACAGATTTTAGGGTCAGAATGGAGCCCCAGAGCGGAAGGTCAGATAGATTACCACCAGAGGCTTACTCCTATCACCAAAGGAACGTAATGCCATGCAGTGCCGTGAGAGGTTACTCAATTCTTTGGCTACAGGTCAGGTCTTTCTTTTTTTCTTTTCTTTTTTTCTTTTTTTTTTTTTTTTTGTTTTTTGACTTGTGGCGATGCACAGGGGTTTACTCCTGGCTCTGCACTCAGGAGTTACTCCCGGCGGTGCTCAGTGGACCACGCAAGGCAAACGCCCTATCCACTGTGCTATCTCTCCAGCCCCGGCTACGGGCCTTTCATGGGAGATCAACTCACAACTGGATAAAAGAAAATAAACTAAACAACACACACACACACACACACAACCCCCACAAACTCAATATACAAAGAAACATTGTTCCTCTCTCATTCTCACTCTTTCCCCTACTACCTCATGTTTTTTGGTTGTTTTATTTTTGATGTTTTTGCTTTTTGGGTCACACCCGGCGATGCACAGGGGTTACTCCTGGCTTTGCATTCAGGAATTATTCCTGGCGGTGCTCGGGAGAACATATGGGATGCTGGGAATCGAACCCAGATTGGCCGAATGCAAGGCAAACGCTCTACCTGCTGTACTATCCTTCCCACCTCCACCACTACCTCATGTTTACCTGGAGAGCAGCAATACTCTCCTTCTACCCACCCTCCCAGGTACACGCACACGCACGCACACACATCCTACAAATCAACAGGCACACAGGCCACCATACCAGGCTGGCTGCTGCTCCAGTCCTCACTTTCCGGGGTGCTAGTGGAAGGCTGTCGCTCTGGATCCTTTCCTTCTTCTTGCTTCTCCTGTGAAAAACAAGCCCGATGCCAGCTTCCTGACTTCGTGGGTAGCTGTGAGTGTCTCTGATAGGGCCCCTGCCTGGCTCTCTGGCCACACAGTAGGTATCTTGCTCCAAACGGGTGGGATTTCTTTTAGGCCACTCGCAGGAACCCGGCTCCAGCAATGGGCCAGACTCACAGGGGTGCACAGAGTCCCTAGCTCCGCTGCCTGGCTTAAGATGCTCCCTGCATGCCCTGCCTTGGGCTGCTCCATCCTGGTTGCTTGCAAAGTCTCTTCCCGTGCCTGTGCACCAGGCTCCCCGGTCTTTGGTCCAGGGACAGGGTTTGTCAGAGTCCAGGCACACCTGCGTGGGTGCTGCCTTCAGACTGGAGGGCGGGGAGGGGAGGGGCGTCTCTGCAAAAGCCGGAGAGGGATTTATCCTCCTTCCCTCCAAACCCGCTCCAGGATTCATTCACTCCCGATGGGCACCTCCAGCGGAAATGAGTGAGTCACCACGAGCATCTGCAACTCTGTAACAGGCAGGAGACTGGGGGGCGGGGGGGTGGGGGAGGGCGCACGGCGGGGGCGCTGCCAGAGCTGCGACCCCATCCCCGCCGACCCCCCAACCCCGCTTACCGGGGGCTCAGGCTCTGACTCGTCGGACGGGCTCTGGTAGTGCCGGCGCCTCCTCTTCTTCACGGGTTTCAGCAGCTCCGAAGCAGCGGGGCCCGAGTTCTCCACGATGACGGACCTGCGGGAGGGAACGGGGTGGGGTGGTCTGAGCGAAAGACCCCAGGGCAGGTTGGCAACCCCCAACATTTACCATCCCTTCCCCGGGCCCCCCCCCCCCGCAACTCCTTACCGCTCCTGGAATAGCGGGGCGCAGCCGTCGTGGCCCGAGCCGGGCTCCGCGCCTGGCTGCGGCCCCCACGCCCCGCGCTGGCAGGAGCCTTCGTCCTCGGGGGGGTCCTGCCGGGGATCTGCCGGAGGGTCCTGGGGGAGGCCTGGCGCGGGGGCAGAGGCGCCTCAGCCTCCCCCCCACGCCCGCGCGAGCCCTCCCCCCCACGGCCCCCGCCGCGCGCTGCCCACGGGCCTGGGGCGCTCACCCGGCTGCTGGGCGACCGCGCCGCCGCCGCCCGCCGGGGCCTCGCCGGCCTCGCACTCCGCCGCGCCTTCCCGCCGCAGCTCGGGGCTCGGGGGATGCTCGGCGCCCACCATGCTCCGCGGCGCCAACTCGCCGAGCCGAAACTGGAGCGCGGGAGGGTCTGAGGACGCTGGACTCGGGTCCCCGCCGCCGGACCCTCCTCCAGCCGCCCCCAGCTCGCGCTAGGCCACGCCCCCAGAACCCAGCCCCAGATGCTCCGCCCCTAGCCACGCCCCCAAGGCCCCGGCCCGGAGCGCACCCACCCGAAGCCACGCCCCTGGTTTAGCCCCTCCCTTAAGTCTCCACCAATCCCGAGCGCTAAAGACGCCAAAGCCAGCCACGCCCCCAGTCTAGCCCCACCTCCAAGTCTCCGCCTATCCTGAGCGCTAGGGGAGTCAAACCTGAGCCCAGCTTGGCCCCACCCTTAAGTTCCCACCAATCCCGAGAGCTAAGGAAGCTAAAGCCACGCCCTCAGTTTAGTCACCGAAAGTCCTCGCCAATCCCGAGCGCTAAGGGAGTCAAAGCCACGCCTCCAAGGTGCCGCGCTCAAAGCCCCACCCCCAGCCCAGCCGGCCTCGTTCCCTTTTCGCCGTAGGCCCCGCCCCCAAGCCCGCCGGCCCCGCCCCCCGCAGACACTGACCCGCCGGCCGCTCCTAGGAGGCGGGGCCGGGGCCTCGGTCCACTCCAGGAGGCGCACGGTGCCGCAGCCGGGGCTGGTCACCCGCACCGCGCTTAACTGCGGCAGGACAGTGGCCGTAACCGGGACGCCCATGACTCGCTCCGGGGCCCCAAGGTGGATCGGCTCCCGTGGAAAGCAGGACACGTCCAGAGTACTGCCGGGCAGGCCGAGAGTGGCCGAGCTGGCTGCCAAGAGATGCACAGGCAGACGTGACCGCCGTGAGCCTGGTGGCCCTGGGTCGGTGCTGCTGGGAGAAAACCAATCATTGCCTCCCGGGATCCACGGATGGGGATGCTCCTCTCCGGATCCCGGCGTGGCCCACCTGGGATGATGAAGGCGGTAGCAGGCAGGTGGGGAGCGGATCCCGGGCCGTCCCTGGTCACCAGGTGCACGCTGACCTCCCCTGGGGAGGGGCCCTGCAGGGTCCTCAGCATCTCCATTTCAGCATGCCCCTCCATCTTGGTTCTCCTACAACCTGCAGAAGCCCCCCCACCCCCCAGGGCGATCAGGGAGGGAGGGGGCTGCCTTTGGGAGAAGCGGATCAGCGCTGGGCAGTGGCCAGCAAAGAAAAGCCTCAGTCCTAAAAGGAGTCAGAAGTCTCAGGAGCAGGATCAAGTCTGCCTCTCGGGCTGGTCAGGTCACCCAGGGGAGGGACCCCCATCAGGCCGTGCACCTCCCAGGGTGGTGCTGGGTAAACTCTGACAGAACTCAGGGGATCAGATCTCAGGACAAGGCTCACTCGGTTGGTCGACTGCCCTGAGGACTTAACCTATCCACCTGCAGACAGCAGCCCCACCCTCAGGCTCTCTCTGAGTACCACTCTCTTCGCCCTATGAGGACCCAGGGCCCACCAGTGGCCTCCCACACACTATTTTCTTAGAGGTGCTCTTTCCTGATCACATTCTTTCCTTCCTCTTCCCCACCACTCCCTCCAACCTCATGCTCAGCCTCAGCCCTCGAAACATCTGTGATCCAAGTATGCATGGGAGGAGCAAAGAGTGTCTGAGATCCCAAAGAAGTGCCCGGTTTTGCTTTAATAAATCAAGGGTGGTACAGACATTTAATAAAGATTTGGTGAACAGAAATATATGGGGTGAGGAGAAAGGCTGGGGAGAGTGTCCAAAGGGCTGAGAGTGTCTCTAGCACCACAGGGTCCTCTGAACATCACCAGGGGTGAACAGTGAGCACTGAGTCAGGAGTAAGCCACGAGCAATGCCAGATTTTACTCCTGCTGCCTCCCTGCAAAAGACCTAGGAACATGATGATTATTGTTAAGATGCTTACCAAACTCTTAACGTTGTGTTGGCCACTTCCTAAATGTGTTTCCCAGTAGGTGTGTGTCCAGCGTGGTTCATCAGCATTTTCTGTGATGATGGAAATGTCCTATATAGACACTGCCCTCTAGCCTGTGGTCACAGGCCGCATGTGACTTTTTTATTTTATCTTATTTTGCTTTTTGGGTCACACCTGGTGATGCACAGGGGTTACTCCTGGTTCTATACTCAAGAATCACCCCTGGTGGTACGTACTCAGGGGACCATATGGGATGCTGGGAATCGAACCCTATCGGCCACGCCCTACCTGCTGTGCTATTGCTCCAGCCCCGGCATGTGACTTTTAAACACTTGAAATATAGCTGGTATCACCATGAAACTGAATATAAATTTTTAATTCCATCTCAGTTGCCACAGAACTCATGGCTATTGTTTGGGGATGCACAACTTGATACATCTTGAGGCCGGAAGGGAGCAAGTGCACAGTGGGGAGGGCATTTGCCTTGCATGTGGACGACCCAAGCCAGCATCCCATATGGTCCCCTGAGCACTGCTAGGAGTAATTCCTGAGTGCAGAGCCAGGAGTAGCCCCTGAGCAATGCCGGGTATGACCCAAAAAAGAAAAAAAAAAAACAAAACAAAATAACAACTTGATACATCTTGTAACTGACCAATCAGCACTAATTCAGAAACACATCTCCATGTTAGCACACTCCTCTCCACCTCCATCCTAGCCCCCATCATCATCAACTCTCCCAGTACTTCTCTTTTTATTGTTTGGCTTGCTTTGGGGACCACACCGGCAGTGCTCAGGGCTTACTCCTAGATCTGTGCTCAGGGCTTACTCCTGATGGGCTGGGCAGACCATCTGAGGTGCCAGGGACTGAACCCACACTGACCATATGGAAGGCAAACTTGTTGCCCTCAGTACTGTCACTCCAGCCGCCCCTCCCGGTATTTCTGAAACTGCCCCTAACCTGCTTCCCTGCTTCTTCCTTTCCTGCCCACACCATTCCATTCACCAGGGAGGGGAACCAAATCGCACAATTTCCCTGCCTGAATTCTTCAGTGGCTCTCCATTGCCCTGAGAATAAAATCGAAGAGCTTTCCCCTGCAGAATCTAAACCCAGTCTTCCTCTCCGACCTCCTCCTGCGCCACCCACCACTCTACCCTCGTTCTCTGCCAGATTTGGGCATGGCATCCATCTCTTGTTCCACACTCAAACCCCGAGACGTTGCCCTTCCTTCTTTCCACCAGAAATGCTTCGCCTCAAGCTCTCTGCTTGGCTGCCTCCATCCCCCTCCTCCAGGTCTCAGCTCAGTGACTTCTTTTCTCAGATGAGATCTTTGTTGACTACTTAATGATCAATTTAATTTAAGCTGCCCAGGGCAGAGCGTTAGCTCCACAGGCTGCACCAGGAGGCCCAGGTTGGATCCTGACACTGCCTGCCTGGTCCTTTGAGCACCACTGAAAACAACTTCCAAACTGGGAGCCACGAGCAGCCCCCTGAGCACCACCAGGTGTGGCTCCCAAACCAAGAATAATATAAGGAAATGGAAACACAATACCTCTCACACCACCCCGCTTCTACTTATCTTCTATTATCTCCTACTGTGGCCTTCAAATCCTTCATTATGTTAGTATTGACTGTTACTGTTCATTATTGATGAGTCATTCCCGTATCATATAAGTTCCACTAGAATAATGACTGCCATATTCACACCTTTATCCCAGCACTTAAAATAGTTCCTGAAACACAGTAGGTGCTCAGTAAGTCTTTGTACTGGAGTTCCATAACCTGAATTTGTTATATAATACACATATATGTATATATCACTGTCACTGTCCTCCCATTGTTCATCAATTTGCTTGAGCAGGCCCAGTAACATTGTGAGACTTGTTGTTACTGTGCTTGCCAGGGTTTGCCGTGCGGGCAAGATACTCTCAGTAGCTTGCTGGGCTCTCTGAGAGGGGCAGAGGAATCGAACTTGGGTTGGCTCGGTTGGCCACATGCAAGGCAAATGCCCTACCCGCTGTACTATCACTCCAGCCCATATGTATGTGTGTATATATATATATATATATATATATATATACACACACACACACACACATATGTGTATATATACACACACACACACACACACATATAAATATTTTTTTAAATCACTGTATGGGGGGCTGGGGTCTTAGTCCAACGGGTAGGGTGCTTACCTTGTACGTGCTGATCTGGGTTCAATCCCCAGCAACCCATATGGTCCCCTAAACCCTGTCAGGAGTGACCTCTGAGTAGCACTGAGTATGGCCCCCAAACAAACAGAAAAAACACTGTATGGGGTAAAGGATGTGGATTATAGTAGTGCACTAGCCTTGCATGTGTGAGGTCCTGGATTCGATTCCCCCAGCACCAACAACAAAAGACACTGTATGAGGGATTGACGTACTTGGTTACTTAAAAATATTTTTTTAATATTTTTGGTTTGGAGGAGAGCCCGGCAAGCTACCGAGAGTATTCGATATGCCAGACACAGTAACAACAAAGTCTCCAATGGAGACGTTACTGGGCCCACTCGAGCAAATCGACGATCAACGGGAGGGCCTTTACTTTACTTTACTTTACTTTGGTTTGGAGGCCACAACCAGCTGTGCTCATGGGTTACTCCTGACTTTGCATTCAGGAATCATTCCTGGTGGAACTCAAGGAACCATATGGGATGCCAAGGATTAGAGCTGGGTTGGTCGCGTGCAAGGTAAATTCCCTACCCGCTGTCCTATCTCTCTGGCCCCCCATGAAAGCGTCTTACTCATAATGGTTGTTGTTTCTCCCATCCTTCTACTTTTTTTTTTTTTTTTTTTGGTTCTTGGGTCATAACTGGTGCTTCTCTGGGCTCACTCCTAGCTCTATACTCAGGGATCACTTTTTACAGTAAAACTATATCAAATTTATATTTAAAATATACATTTTTATATTTTTAAAAAAAAGCACTGTATAGGGGCCAGATTGTTAGTCCAGCAGGTAGGGTGCTTGCTGGGGATGGAACCTGGGCCAGCCAAGTGCAAGGCAAACACCCTGCCGACTGTAGTGTCTCCCTTCTGCTATTCATGTCCATTCACTTGCTTTCTACTTTTCCCTCCTAAAAGGAAAAGGACCGAGTCCATCAGCGATACCTGGCAGAGAGTTACAATCAAGTAGGAGAAAAGCAACTTTTATTACCTAATTATGACAACATTTCAAACAAGATTTACTTTCCTGTGGAGTAGGGGACCTCATATGCGGTACTCAGGGGACCGGGGACCACTCTAGGAAATTCTCATCCACCTGGACCCAACAGTTCAATGCGAGGGACTGGGGATATAGTGCTGCTCTGGCCTAGTAGGCTGGGACCCACAAGCACCCACCAGGCCATGCTTGGGGGTCTCCAGGGCTACACTGGCTATTCTCGCAGTGTCAGAAGTGAGCCAGGGTCCCTATCCACTGTACTATTCCCTATATATATATATATATTTTTTTTTTGGTTTGCTTTTTGGGTCACACCCGGTGATGTACAGGGATTACTCCTGGCTCTGCACTCAGGAGTTACTCCTGGTGGTGCTCATATGGGATGCTGGGAATCGAACCCGGGTTGGCCATGTGCAAGGCAAACGCCCTACCTGCTTGCTATCTATCGCTCCAGCCCCCCCTATTTAAAAAATTTTTTTTTTCTTTTTGGGTCACACCCAGCAATGCTCAGGGGTTACTCCTGGCTCATGCACTCAGGAATTACTCCTGGCGGTGCTTGGGGGATCATATGGTATGCTGGGAATCGAACCCAGGTCAGCCATGTTGACTGTGTGCAAGGCAAACGCGCTACCCGCTATGCTATGGCTCCAGCCCCCCTATTTTTTTTTTACTTTTAAAAATTTTGCTTTGTGGGTTACACCTGGCAATGCTCAGGGGTTATAACTCCGGGTGGTGTTCCAGAGACCACATGGGATGCTGAGGATCAAACCCGGGGCAGCTACATGCAAGGGAAGTACCCTCCCCACTGTGCTCTCTCTCTCCAGCCCTGATACACAGTAGTTTTCTATCTCTTCCCCGCTTATTTCTGGATATAAGCTTCATGAAAAGGTGGCATTTTGTTTGACTGTCTCCCTGGATCACAGAACGAGACCGATAGGTCTTTGGCCTTTCAGTGTTTGTGGACACAAAGGACACAAATCTTAACAGAAGAGCAGG